ATGACCTGTCCTTCTTCTAGTGAAACGTATCTCTAACATCAAATCCTCCATGTACATTGAAAATGCTCTTCCCTGTTTGGCTCTTCAGCGACACGAGAGCGTACACCTCCCGTGGGTCTCGGTGGTGAATGGAGCCGTCCCAGGAGTCTGTATCGATTGGCTTCATGACATTAATACCTTCCAGTGTACCAGCAGCGAGATCCTGCGCGTGAATGCAAAATGGGAGGCTGCTGTGCCCCAGAGGCTGGTAAGCGAGATGCCATATATTACACCATCCGAGCTGTGTGTCATATTAGAGCAATCTAGTTTTAAAGGGCATCTTTCAAGCACAAACTAGCTTTTTCCCACACTTGACTGATCACACAAATAACTGTGATTAAAGGTCAAGTGCTTGGGTTTTTCTATTTTACTCCTTAAAAATTTATATGCGAAAGAAAACCTAGAAGTTAACATAGCATGAAATTGTTATGCAGTTATGAGCCTTTAACGACAACTAAATATCACTTTTATTCCTGGGTGGCTTAAAAAATCTCCACTAATCAAGGGTCACTTCTTCTGGTTTCCACTTGAGGAAGATTATAAATAAAACCTGTCTTTCGCTTCCCTGCCTTGTAATGTGATGGAGGGAGAGTTTGTGTCATGTGAACTTGTGACTCCAGTCACCAGGACTGTACCCCAGGCTCGCAGGGAGCTCCTGGCCTGCAGGCACGAGGTGGGAGCATCGGCCGGGCTCGAAGCACCGGTTCGCTGCGGCAGCACCGCAGCAAAGCACCGGCCCGTGCCGAGCTCTCCCAGCCGGCAAGAGCACTGACAAATGGATGGGAATTTTCTTGCTGGTCACATTAACGCAGAGAAAAGCTAGCAGTCGTGTTTCCAGAGGGGCTGAGAAATGGAGGGAGATCTGGAAACACCCTCCGGCTGCAGGCATCCAGCCAGGCCGTCTGCGTCCCGTTACCGGTCTCTGCCCCAGATCTGCCAGGCTATGACTACTGTGGGCGCTGAATAGCAGCTTTTGGGGCTGAGATGGAATATGGGGCGGTCGGTGCTTTGAGGTGGGAGGGGAGTGCTGGAAGACATAGAGAGCAAGTAGAAGTATTAGAGGTATATATTGTCAAAACCAATTGTGAATCCTCATCGTGCTTGAAAAATGTTTCCTCCATTTCTTCAGAATGGCCACAGCAGCAGCATCTTGCTCTTTACTGGCCAAGAGCCCCAGATTTCCAGCAGATTCATGCTCAGATGCAATGCCTCCCAAACCTCTCGAAAGCAAACATGCCTTAGGTGTTAAAAAAAATGCTTGGAAAGGCAAGATTCCTGTGGAACAGGTTAAAGAAACATTGCGCACGGGGTTTTGAGCTGGTGCCTGGGTTGCTCCGGTTTCCTGAGCCTGCAGGGACGTTCATGTGTGGTTCAAGGTGTTCACACGGGTAGTCGTATCGACTGCAGGAAGGGAGTGCTTAGGAGCTGGGGCGGAAGGCAAATGAACTGTAATCACCATATCTAATTAATCTTATTATGCAATGTGCAAATCCGAGTCTGACTGGCAGCAGGCTTCCACTGGATACCTGCTCCAGCAAACTCACGTGTGTGTTGGCCACCGCGGACTTCAGGCATTAGAGTCTGGCACCGGGAGGTTTGTGCCGTGCATTGCTGCAGACACGCATTGCTGCTCTTCCCCGGCAGCCCCCGCTCCCCCCAGCCCATTCACTGGGCTGCCCCCCGCAGCCCTCGCCGCACCTCTCCTTTCATGCATGGATTTTGGTTTAGCAGGGGAGTCCTGCTGCCAGCGCGACCCAGCTGCACTGGATGGAGCTCAGTATTTATATTCCAGACTTGCAGTGTTTTACATTTGACAGCCCATAATCACAGCGCAGGGAGCATCCCACAGGAACAAGTGTTGCTACATAAGCTTCGGCGTCAGGGCATCAGCCGTCGGGTGGGAAACTGATGGGCGTTCAGCCTGACTAAATTTTGCAGGGACCTGCAACACCTACAATTAGTGATGATCAAACCTCGACGAGTTCCTCCCGCGGCGCAGGAGGCTGGGGGCCGGGTGGCACGCACCTCGCCTGCAGCAAGTGGGGGATTGCCTCCCCCAGCCCCGCCAACCCCACCGCAGCCTCCCCGCCCTGCGCCTGCTGCCGCAGCGCTGCCCGGCACGTGGGGCTGCCGGACCCGCCTGCCTGGCACTGCCTCGTCCCCGGGTTTCTTCCTGGCCGCTTGGACTTCTACAGCAGCTGCTGGGCTCAGAGGACCTTGAGACGAAGCTGGGAATCAAATTTCGGCACAGAAAGGCAGAACAGAGGTCCTGACACTCTCTGATGCTCTCCTGGGCATCCCTGGCAGGCGAGCGCAGCTGCGAGACCTGCCCCGCTGCTCTCCTGGGCCCCGCGGCGCAGGGGTAAAGCCCGGACTCGCCGCTGAGTGCCCGCT